AAGGTAAAATGCCAAATTATACAAAAACTGCAAAATTAAAAACATACACATTAATTTTCTTTACGATTTGCAGGAAAAGCATGAGACTCTGCTTCCTTTTATTTGTAACAAACACATGCACCCTCAAGGAGCCCCAGTTGGGGAGTGGTCTCGTGCTGGGCTGCAAACCACAGAGGATAGCAGTTTGCAACCAGCAGCCGCTGCACAGGAGAAAGACGGCGCTTTCCATGCCGTGAAGAACCCCCAGGGCAGTTCCACCCGTCCTGTGGGCCACTGAGTCAGTGCTGATTCCATGGCAGTGCCGCTTATCTGTTTTTAAGTTAGAATCATGTAATATAAGAACTCGGAAAGGCACTTAGAGGTTACACTGCCTAAGACTTTCTTTTACAAAGGAGGAAATTAAAGGATAAAGATTTCTCATAGAAATTACATTGAATCACAAAGGTAAAAAAAATTCATTTTTATTTTTTTAATCACTTTGATTAAAAAGGTCTAAATATGGTGTTAGCATGGTTTTAAAAGCTTTTTAATATTTGCTATCTCTTCTTTCAACAAAGAACAGATAGTCAATCAAAACTTAATAACTTTGTTTTTTGTACTTCTTTTCATCTTTACTTGTATTTCTAACAAGTATATACTAGTTTTCTGTTTCACTGATAAAAAGCTTTCCTTAGCATATGCAAAGAAAACACGAAGTAACAAAACAGAGAGTGTTCAGGTATTTGTGGGCCCACTGGGTGTGATGAAAATCATTAAGTAGGTCCACAAATACCTGAAAATTGGGAAATAATAAATTGGGTCAGAAAAAAATTTTAATTACTCAAGCTAATAGCCCCTTAAATATTTTAAAGTTTAACTTAGCCCTTTAACTTAGTGGTTTTAAGAAATAACACCACACACTATCACATACTGTGTTAAATGTGTTTTGGAATCTTACAAAATTATTTTAAAACAATACCAAGACCCAAAAAACTCCACTGCCATTAAGCTGACTCTGTAGGACAGCATGGAACTGTTCCCTACGATTTCCAAGACTGTAAATCTTCATGGAAGCAAAGACCTCAAGTCTTTTCCACAGAACAGCTGGTGGATTTGAACCACTGACCTAGCAGCAGAACAATGCCTAATGCACCGTACTTATTATAAACAATAGGCATCTTGAAATCCTGCCAATTTTCTGAAATTGCTATCTTTGTACTAATACACAGATAACAGTAATTATAAACAAAAAATGTGTATTAATGAAAACTAAGAAAAAGTCATACCATCCGTCTTTGTACGAATTGATACATTTAAATCACATCCGTTTCCAACATCCATTCCAGTTTCTTTTACTACAGGCTTTTCTGCTAAAGAGAAGGTTTTAATTGTTTTATTAAATGGTACCACTCTTAAGGAAAGACTAATCACACATACTTAACTTCAGAAGGTTATAGTACATGAAGAAGACGTTTAGATCCAGGAAACTGCAATGTGCTCAGGCTGTAGCAACACTGAGCTAATGACCACAAAGAACAAAACCCGAGGCCGGTTCATCTAGTCAGCTCTACAAAGACAGCATAAACTACAGGGAGGGCTGCTTTCGGACGCTCAAAGTGCACTTTCTTAACAAACTGTGCGACTTTCATTTGAGTCCCCAACCCAGCAGGTAAAGCTGACATTTCCTAGCCTGGACTTAAGGTTCTTTAAAAATAGGCTCCTAATTTTATCTCTATTTGCTCTCTAATCTGCTGCAGCCACATAGGTGAACAGTCTCAATTCGTTACTGGTGTGCCCTTGCTAACGTTATTCCCAAAGGTACTAATATTTCAAGGGTTTTACCCAACTGATCATTCATTCCCCTGAACGCAGGTCCAGTAATTCCTTAGGGTTTCTGAGCCCATAAATCGTGATGGCAGCAGACTACCTCATCTTTCTCCTGTGGAGTGTTTGGCGTGTTCGAACTTCTGACCTAGCAGTCCAACACATGCTCTGCTACAGCCCTAGAGGTCCTTGCATTTCTAAACAGATGATGTAAAATTCCTTACATGAAACCTCAAGCTCTTTTCCCTTTTTACTAGAGTATTTATTGATGCTAAACATAGGGTTTTGCCACAGTAACAACAACAAACAGCCCTAAATCTCAATTGTAGTAATTCATACTGTCTTTCTTCTAGGACCCAGGTTGACAAAACAGTTCCTTCTGGGAATATTGCCAGATGTCATGGTAAAGGGAAACAAAATAACAATAACATGCAAAACTATGTCCCCGTTCTTGTAGCTTCTCTTTGGAAATGTTCTACATCATTTCTGCTCAGAATTCAATGGCCAGAACGAGCTATGTGGCCATGCCCGAGTTGAAGGGAAAGGAAGCATAGCTCTTCCTCAGGGTGTGGCCCAGGTTTGGGTACATGGTAGCTCTACCACAGCTGACTATTCAAACTAAGAGAATAAGCTGTCAATAACCTAGGACTTAGAGGAGGATGTGCTATCTGACCACACCGGATATTCCTAGGGCTGTTGCTTTTCACTAGCTCCCATCAGACAAAAGTGATACCAGTTCCCCAAAAGAGGGCCCTCTTTGCCTCTATCCAAGGAGCCTTTAGTTAATTTATGGTAAAAAGGCAACTGGGAGGAACCTCCCAAGCATGGCTTGGAGGCTTATAGTTGACAAGCACGGCCTTGTCATCTTCAACACACCTTGCTTACATCAAGCAACAGAAACACCCAAAATAAAAAGAATGATGTGATGCTATATTGACACAATACAGTGTAATAACATCTACTTGTGAATCAGGCTATCAAAAGATCAAGTTGACTACACAGCGCATGCTTCAGCTCAAATCCTCTCTTCAGAAAAGGCAGAGGTAACAAACACTATCTTCCGTGTCCGAAAAGAACAGCGGTCATAAGTTCCAGGTGATCACCGTGAGGCGGGGCCGAGCTAGGAGGACAGGAGTATGGAGAGAGCTTTTGGCAATCACTGTAAGAGTGCAGGTGTACAGGGCTCAAGGTGCTGACTTCCCACTTACATCTGTCAGACAAGCGAGTGTTGAGTCCTTTGGTGGGGTTTGCTCACTAAGGAACTGCCTGCTCAGATACCCAGAGGGTAGGCAACACTGGATCAAGATCACTGATGCACAGAGAACCAATCTAAGGTTCATCTCTCCTGAGGATAAATATCATCTAGGTAGAGAGCATTTCAGTAGTAGAACAAAGCTTTTTTTGAAGGCTCTGGTCCAATTTGTGAATACAATGGAGTAGGCTAAAGACTCCAAAGCAATGAAGATCCATGACAACGTGGAGAGCTGTGACTAACCCTAACCCAGGGGCTGCCTGCCATGTGCCAGGGCAGTGCTTTCTGAGTTCCTGTAGGAAGCATGTGCTCTTTGAAGGAACCCTACTGACACCGCGTTGTCTGGGGACTGATACACCTATCCCTCATTGATTGACTATCTCACTATCTGACATTGCACATCGACAACAGCTTTTTAAAAAAGATATATTTTGCACATCAGTCACGTGGCAGGCATGGTGGCAATGGCTGTGGAGGGTCTCTGGGAAAC